GCTCCCCCTCATCCCTCATCCCATCACCTTTAAAAGTGCTATATAAAATAAAATACATTGTTAAAAGGATGTGTAGTCTTCTTGAAAAATGTGAGGTTACTCCAGATTTACATAATATTTATACAATATTTTAATAAAAGTGATGCTTATTTCAATTATTAAAAGGGTATTTTAAAGAAGAAGATCAAAATGCTATGTGAAATGATAGTAATGTGAAAAACGGATGTTGCATTATATTATTGTTTTTACTGCAAAATTTTCAGATTAAAATTAAAGCCCCCACACAGGTCCCACTAACAGCACTGCAGCAACAATAGCTTCCCAGGAGACCTCCCATCCAGGTCCTGACCAGACTTCACCCTGCTTCGCTTCAGTGGGTGGCCAGTTGGGAGCTGTAGGGTGATATGGCTGCTGGCTTTTGAGGCTCGATGTGTCAATATATTGTAACGCTTCGGGGTTCAGGCGGGCGCCCTTGCCGCCGCCACATCTGGTCGGCCCCCCACCGTCGGCGACGCGAACCCAGGCATCGGGCGTCACTCATCAGGGACCCAGCCTGTTGAGCTGAGATGAGATCTGCCTCCAGCCCGGCGGCTGTGGGTCCTGCTATCACAGGGAAGGGCGGTGACGTCACCACTCTGGTAAGCAGAACTTACACACTCAATGAAGGCCGTAGGCTTTACAATATAATAAAATACATCGACATGTTTATATACCTGATTGATAAAAGTTATGTTGATTTTAGTTTTGCATGTGATGCCCAGTGTGTTAATAATGGTCAGCAACCTACAGTATAGAAAGGGGGAAACCCTTTAGAGCTCGTCCACAGTCAACGGTGGGAAAAACTGCACTGCCCTTTTCTCTCCACCCTCGGTCTCTCTCTCCCTATCTCGCCTTTGGTTAATAGCATCTTGTTCTGTAACTAGAGGGGCAGTAAACCTTCCGATCCTTTGTGAAGCTGCAGATCTGTCTCCTGCATAATCTCTGCCCCCGTCCTCTCCGTCGAACTGGGTTTGGGCCGTGTCGCCGCAATATCAACAACACTTAACCACTATACCATAGCGCTTAAAAAGTTTTTCAAATCAAAGCGTTGTATTTTCATTTATAACCAGGCGAGCGAATGGAAAACTATTCTATGAACAGTCTCTAGAGAGAGCTCTTGTTTCTTTGTACAATTTGCCGTAGTTCAAGTTCTTTCGAGGGGTTTAACATGCGCCAGAAGCGCTTACCCCTTGGGATATAAGGACTTGTTTGTTTTGCACTGTGCATCTTTC